TAGCAACTACCATCCACAGGATGGACATGAGGTGCACAATAAACTAGCAACTACCATCCACAGAATGGACATGAGGTGCACAATAAACTAGTCACTACAATCCACAGGATGGACATGAGGTACACAATAAAGTAGCAACTATCATCCACAGGATGGACATGAGGTGCACAATAAACTAGCCACTACCCTCCACAGGATGGACATGAGGTACACAATAAACTAGCCACTTCCATCCACAGGATGGACATGAGGTACACAATAAACTAGTCACTACAATCCACAGGATGGACATGAGGTACACAAACTAGCAACTACCATCCACAGGATGGACATGAGGTGCACAATAAACTAGCCACTACCATCCACAGGATGGACATGAGGTACACAAAGTAGCAACTACCATCCACAGGATGGACATGAGGTGCACAAACTAGCAACTACCATCCACAGGATGGACATGAGGTGCACAATAAACTAGCAACTACCATCCACAGAATGGACATGAGGTGCACAATAAACTAGTCACTACAATCCACAGGATGGACATGAGGTACACAATAAAGTAGCAACTATCATCCACAGGATGGACATGAGGTGCACAATAAACTAGCCACTACCATCCACAGGATGGACATGAGGTACACAATAAACTAGTCACTACAATCCACAGGATGGACATGAGATGCACAATAAACTAGCAACTACTATCCACAGGATGGACATGAGGTGCACGATAAACTAGCCACTACCATCCACAGGATGGACATGAGGTGCACAATAAACTAGCAACTACCATCCACAGGATGGACACGAGGTGCACAATAAACTAGCAACTACCATCCACAGGATGGACATGAGATGCACAATAAACTAGCAACTACTATCCACAGGATAGACATGAGGTGCACGATAAACTAGCCACTACCATCCACAGGATGGACATGAGGTGCACAATAAACTAGCCACTACCATCCACAGGATGGACATGAGGTGCACAATAAACTAGCAACTACCATCCACAGGATGGACACGAGGTGCACAATAAACTAGCAACTACCATCCACAGGATGGACATGAGATGCACAATAAACTAGCAACTACTATCCACAGGATGGACATGAGGTGCACGATAAACTAGCCACTACCATCCACAGGATGGACATGAGGTGCACAATAAACTAGCAACTACCATCCACAGGATGGAAACGAGGTGCACAATAAACTAGCCACTACCATCCACAGGATGGACATGAGGTGCACAATAAACTAGCCACTGCCCCCCACAGGATGGATATGAGGTGCACAATAAACTAGCCACTACCATCCACAGGATGGACACGAGGTGCACAATAAACTAGCCACTACCATCCACAGGATGGACACGAGGTACACAATAAACTAGCCACTGCCATCCACAGGATGGACATGAGGTGCACAATAAACTAGCCACTACCGTCCACAGGATGGACACGAGGTGCACAATAAACTAGCCACTACCATCCACAGGATGGACACGAGGTGCACAATAAACTAGCCATTACCATCCACAGGATGGACACGAGGTGCACAATAAACTAGCCACTACCATCCACAGTATGGACATGAGGTGCACAATAAACTAGCCACTACCATCCACAGGATGGACACGAGGTGCACAATAAACTAGCCACTACCATCCACAGGATGGACACGAGGTGCACAATAAACTAGCCACTACCATCCACAGGATGGACACGAGGTGCACAATAAACTAGCCACTACCATCCACAGGATGGACACGAGGTGCACAATAAACTAGCCACTACCATCCACAGGATGGACACGAGGTGCACAATAAACTAGCCACTACCATCCACAGTATGGACATGAGGTGCACAATAAACTAGCCACTACCATCCACAGGATGGACACGAGGTGCACAATAAACTAGCCACTACCATCCACAGTATGGACATGAGGTGCACAATAAACTAGCCACTACCATCCACAGGATGGACACGAGGTGCACAATAAACTAGCCACTACCATCCACAGGATGGACACGAGGTGCACAATAAACTAGCCACTACCATCCACAGGATGGACATGAGGTACACAATAAACTAGCCACTACCATCCACAGGATGGACACGAGGTGCACAATAAACTAGCCACTACCATCCACAGGATGGACACGAGGTGCACAATAAACTAGCCACTACCATCCACAGGATGGACACGAGGTGCACAATAAACTAGCCACTACCATCCACAGTATGGACACGAGGTGCACAATAAACTAGCAACATTGGCGACAACATCTGGGATTAAAAAAAAAGTTTTATCATAACGCCAAAGATTTAATATCACTGATTTGTTTCAATAATAATAATGATGATAATAATAACAATAATAATTTAAAATGCGTACCGACAGGTATACTAGACACTTGTAACTGAGAGAAAGCTTTTACCTCCATGTTTCGAACACCTGTGAGCGAAAAGTTATGCGTATAAAGGCTTGCCATTTTACCAGTGTCGGTGCACGACAATGCAACGAAAAATACTACCAGTTTTCTGCGCAAAGTCGTAATTATTGCAAAACTGTGACGTTTCAGGTCGTTATTTGAGTTGTTAATGGAGAACAATGGCATAACATAGTGTTCAAGACAGGTGAACATGGAGGTAACATCGACCAGAGCAGGTGAACATGGAGGTAACATCGACCAGAGCAGGTGAACATGGAGGTAACATTGACCAGAGCAGGTGAACATGGAGGTAACATTGACCAGGGCAGATGAACATGGACGTAACAGTGTTCAAAGCAGATGAGCATGAAGTAACAGTATCCAGGACAGATGAACATGGAATAACAGTGTTCAAGACAGATGAACGCACCTGAACGTCAATCTCGTATGCGTAACTAGTTAAGTTGGCCTCAAACTTGAGCAATAACTTTGGCGAGCTCACCAAGTCAAGGAGTAACTTAGAAAGGAAGATACTGGTAAAGGAAGAACTTAGAAACCAACTTTAATGAGACAACAGCTTAGAAACCAACGTCAGCGAGAACTTATAAACCAACCACAACGAGAACTTAGAAACCAACTTCACAGAAAAAAACTTAGAAATTAACTACGGTAAGAGGAATGTTTCCAAAGAACTTGAGAATATCTTAGAAACCAACTTCAGAGGGAACTTAGAAAGCTACCTGGCTGAGAACAGCTTACTGTAAGAACAGGTTAAAAATGCTCAAACACTAACAACGAGAAAACTTTGAAACCCAGGTGGGTAGAAGAACAACTCTGAAGCCAACTTTGATAGTTACAATTTGCATTTTCATCTATTGCAAGCAAATTTAGGATGTTTGCTTAATATGTCTGGTATCTTATTATCCTTAATAAGATACCATGATATATCACATAGGTTTTTGTTATACTATCTCTATATTCCTTATAAATAGACAATCAAGCACATGGCCACATAACTGACCACATATGTTGCATTTAGTCTGATCATCTCTGCCGGAAGTACTTGCAACCAAGCTTAAGCCTGGCTACTACAACTGCCAGATGTACTTGTAACCAAGCTTAAGCCTGGCTACTACAACTGCCAGATGTACTTGTAACCAAGCTTAAGCCTGGCTACTACAACTGCCAGATGTACTTGTAACCAAGCTTAAACCTGGCTACTACAACTGCCAAAAGTACTTGTAACCCAGCTTAAGCCTGTCTACTACATCAGTCAGTATTCCTCCGCAGATATGCTTATCTACATTCATGTTATCATAGTGAGTGACAGATCTACTCAGGCTTCTAATTGCATTCCTATGACGTTCATTTTCATTATTTACTTCCCTCTTAACATTATTCCTAGCGCAAGACACAGGTTTATCACAGTTATATTCTACATTTTTCTTCACAGTACTTAGACTAACTTATCAACTTTATCATGGAGAAGTAACTTACTGTTATTACATACTACATTAAGCATCACTAACAGGCTCGTTATTACCAGTATTTTTATTTATCAGCTAAATTCTGCCATTAGCGTTGTTATGGTGTATACTGCCATCTGTAGTGAGTGAAAGACAGTCATTATGTAAGCAATTATGCAATTAACTCCAACTGATGGGTAGATACCAAGGAAAACGTTGTGTATTGCACTTCTGGGACAATTAGCAAGAATCAGAATAATTAACAAGACTCAAGACAATTAACAAGAGCCAAGTCAATTAGTGCAACAATTATGGAATTAAATAGTCACTTGATTACATTCTGGCGAAAAAACTCACACGTCAATATATATATATATATATATATATATATATATATATATATATATATATATATATATATATATATATATATATATATATATATATCATACCGAATAGGTAAAACTGGTCAATTAGCAAGAACTCAATTAAAATTAAGTCCTTTTTAAAATTTTCTCTTATTTGCTTAAAGATATATTTTTTCACTGATGTTAATGTAAAAATTAATTATTTTGTATTAAAAGAACCTTAGAAAACTTACCTAACCTTATTATAACAAGCGAAATTTAATTTAGCCTAATTCAACTACCTGTATTTTTATAATAAACAAACACAATGAAATACATTTTATGTTCAGAATGATTTTTGCGAAATTATTGCATACACAAATTTTCGTTTGCCTTATTCAGCAAGAAGAGTGTTGCTATTTAAGTCAAAATCGCAAGTTTTACCTATTCGGCACAACATATGTCGAGATGTATAATATATATATATATATATATATATATATATATATATATATATATATATATTGGAAATATCCTTCAGTTTTATATAAATGTAAATGAATCACAAAAAATGTACGCGGGGTCATTTGCATCAGATCGCGGCACTACACTTATCAACTGGTCAAGAGTCGTAGTGGCACTTGCACAAAAGTGCCACGGACGTCGCAGTTATCTAGTGCCAGCCGCAGCTTTATATCCACTTTGCCATTGGGTAATGACAAGTTACTACTGCGTAAACACCTGGGGAGCAGCTGTACACGGAGGCGAGGGTGAGGGAGGAGCAGAGTGCGCACCTCCGCCCCCGTCCAAGGCACAAAGCAGACTGCTGCCACCAGATCACTGTCCAAGCTGTGTGGACAGTGCCGCTGGCGGGCGTGTGACACCACCACATGGCACTCCCAGGACGCCAACACCCCCTTCCCACAAACACATACAAAAAAAAATTTACAACTACTCACGCAAAACGACAGAATTGTTTGCTAGGAACTAAAGTCTGGGGAGGTGTTGACACAGGAGCAGGAAATGCTGATACTAGTTAACATAGCAACACCAGTCAACCCACATGAGAAAACAAAAATATACGCACAACAAAGGAAGAAGTGAAGAAGATACAAAAGAAACCGAGCACACCAACAGCAATAAGAACTCACATCCCCACCATTACCAGGGGAAGGATCAGATCCTGAACTAGAGACGACGGGACAGTTTCCGGATAGCTGGAAGCTGGCTAATGTAATCCCAATATTCATGATTGAGAGCAGTCAGGAGGCGCTAAACCACAGGCTGGTGTAACTGAAGCGAATCCTTTCCCAGGTAGTGGAAAAGACTCAAGTGGAGGATGTTATAACACCTGTGAGTGTCATCAGAGAAAATCAACGTGGATTCTGATATGGTAGATATGTTCGACAAAGCTACCGAGTTCTATGACAGAGTTACTGAGATAAAGACAGCCGAGGATGGACAGGCTTCGTCTTCCTGGACTACAAGAAAACATTTAACATAGTTCCCCCACCAAAGACTGGTTCACAAGCTTCAACAGAAAGGAGGAATAAGAGAAGGTATAAAACAAATCAGTGTGCTTGAAGGACAGAAAACAAAGAGTAACAGTACAGAAGGAACTATCAAGTTGAATTAAGGTAGATAGTGGTGTCCCCCAAGGATCAGGTAGGAGGGCTGCTACTTTTCTTACTATGTTTGGGTCAGGGGCGCAGGGGCGCTAACTCAGAAATCTTCAGGTAACTTTCAGGTGCGTCTAAAGGGCCTGAAACAATATATAGAATATTGACAAATGTATAAAACACACGTTCATACAACGTAAGACAACTTTTTGTGGACTAAAAAAAGTTCCTGGTGGGCGACACGTTACCTCACGTTGTACAAGTGTCTCTTTTACATATATAAATGACCTGCCAGATGGGACTGATTTCCATGTGCCTCTGTCTGCAAATGTAAATACATTGACATCAATACAAACAGTAGAGGATAGGGTCTACCGGGAGATTTACACATGTTACAGTCAAGCTAGTAGCTTTACCTTTGATGTGTTTTGAGAGTTAACTTACTGCTGCACCCCAGCTATGGGCCAGGCTTGCTGGGTGCTTGCTTGATCAACCAAGCTGTTGATGCTGGCAGCCCGGTGGGCCATCACACTCTGGTTGATCTATAACCTGGCGGAAGAACTTGTCGATCTTCCCTCTTAAAGATTTGTACACTTGTTCCGGCAGTGTTTTTTTGTATATCTTCTGGTGCTTATTCATAACAAATGTACGGTGAGAAAATCTGGTAAAGGAAAGGGGGAGGCCGGAGACGGAATACAAACTGGGAGGTGAGAAAGTGCAGGTATCAACAAAAGAATCCAGGGGTAAACATCACACCTAACATATCGCAAGAAGCCCAGAGAACGTGTATGAATTTGGCAGCTTCATGCAAGGCAAGCAAACTTCAGAACAGGCTTCAGATATCTCAAAAAAGAATCTTTCAGGACTTTGTACACAATGCACCTCAGGTCCACTTAAGAATCTGAAGCACCAGATTGAAGCCCCGCCTCAATAAGTTATGTTTAAAAGTTTAAAAATGATTCACTTCCAGAATGAATGAAAAAGGTATGCAACCAGAGCTAAGAGAGGTACAGCACGAGGCGAGACTGCAAGACCTGAATCTGACGACCCGTTCAGTCACAATATCCACCCGTTTATATCAATGTTCACCCGTTCTTTCATTCACAATATTCACCCGTTTATTCAGTCACAATATTCACTCATAGTGAGAAGCTCTGTCCCACAAGGCACAGTACTCGCACCTCTCCTGTTCCTCATTCTCATATCAGACATAGACAGAGATGTAAACCACAGCACTGTATCATCCTTTGCAGACGATACTAGGATCTGCATGAGAGTGTCATCCATTGAGGACACGGCAAAGCTCCAAGAAGATATAAACCAAGTTTTCCAATGGGCAACAGAGAACAATATGATGTTCAAGAAGACAAATTCCAACTACTCCGTTATAGAAAACTGGAGGAAATAATAACTAGGACCGAGTATACTACAAACTCCAATAGAGCGGAAAAGTAATGTGAAGGACCTGGGTGTTGTAATGTCCGAAGACCTCACCTTCAAGGACCACAACAATGCCACTCTCACATCTGCGAGGAAACTGATAGGATGGATAATGAGAACATTCAAGACAAGAAATGCTAAGCCAGTGATGATCCTTTTTTAAATCACTTGTTCTCTCTAGTCTAGAATACTGTTGTACATTAACATCCCCATTCAAGGCAGGTGAAATTGCAGATCTAGAGAATGTACAGAGAACCTTTATTGCACGTATAAGTTCCATCAGACACCTTAACTAACGGAAGCGCCTGGAAGCACTTGACTTGTACTCACTGGAGCGCAGGCGAGAGATATCATAATCTACACCTGGAAGATTCTGGAGGGACTGGTCCCTAATATGCACACTAAAATCACCCCATACGGAAGCAAAAGACTTGGCAGGCGATGCAACATACCCCCAATGAAAAGTAGGGGTGTCACTGGTATACTAAGAGAAAACGCAATAAGTGTCCGGGGCCCAAGACTGTTCAACAGCCTCCCACCAGCAATAAGGGGCATTACCAGTAGACCCCTGGTCTACTGGTTGTCTTCAAGAGGGAGCTGGACAGATACCTAAAGTCGGTGCCGGATCAGCCGGGCTGTGATTCATACCTTGGATTGCGTGGGGCCAGCGGTAGCAGCCTCGTTAATCAGGCCCAGATCCACCGGGAGGCCTGGTCATGGACCGGGCCGCGGGGGCATTGATCCCCGGAAAACCCTCCAGGTAGACCCATTCATTAAATCACAATATTCACCTGTTCATTCAAATACTCACTCGGTCATGCATTAACTGCTTCACTCATCCATTCACATCCTCTCTTAACTTACTCAACCAATCCCCCCCACCCCACCCCCACCCCCAGGCCCCCCTCCTCCCTGGACCCCTCCCCCAAAATAAACACACTTGACGCTCGGCGCTGCTCTCCTATTGTTTACAAAATCCCGTTTTCTCTGCTGCCCTCACGTCAGAGGATCATATTTCCCATTTTCTTAGCTATTAAGTACTAAAGCCAACGTTTCCCCTCCCTGAAAAACTAATTTTTATACGACAGTGTTTCTACATTACACATTACGACAATGCTTTTTATATAATAAAACCGTTAATTCTCTCCTCCTGGGAGCCTTTAAAATGGCTTGTATATCGCCCATCTTCTACACTGACCACCCTCAACATTAACCATCTTCTACACTGACCACCCTCAAAATTAACCATCTTCTACACTGACCACCCTCAACATTAACCATCTTCTACACTGACCACCCTCAACATTAACCATCTTCTACACTGACCACCCTCAACATTAACCATCTTCTACACTGACCACCCTCAACATTAACCATCTTCTACACTGACCACCCTCAACATTAACCAACTTCTACATTCTACTTCACGTCAGGAAATATACTCAAGGAAATACATTTCTTGGAATACATTTAAGATGTTTTTTCTCTCCAGTTAAGCACACAATTTTTCACTTTTTTTTTTTTTTTTGCTTGTTCAGTGTATGATGTGTATACACGCGAGAATAACAAGGGAAAGGGAGGGGAGAGGAGAGAGGGGAACATAAGGTAGAGGTAAGAAGGAACAACTGGACAAGAGTGAAGGAGAACAAGTGAATGTGTGAAGAAATGAAAAATTTAAAGAAACAAAAAAAGGCCTGGCATATTGGGAATTGAGAGAGAGAAAAAGAAGAGAATGGTAAAGGAGAACAGCAAGAGAAGTAAAGAGGGGGACATAAAGAGAAATAAAGAAGGAGAATGAGAGAGGGGAGCAGGATGGGAAGAGAACATAAAAAAAGGTAAAGATGGGAACAGAAAGAGAAATAAAGAGGGCTAAAGAAAGAGGAAAGGTATAAAGTGGAGTAAAAAGAGAAGAGAAGAATAGAAAGAAAATTAAAGAGGTAGAGAAGGGAGCAAAAATGCAGGTACTAGGAGTCACTAGTTCTACACTATGCCTCCTTAGTGATTACTTTCAAGTTAGATCGCTAAGCGTAGTTCTCAACCGGACAGTCAACAAGATATGTTATTTATGCAAGTGTTCCACAGAGAAGTGTGTTTTGTCCACTGTTATGGAATGTCTATTTCAATGATCTTTATTAACTCATCACAGAATCCTATGCATATGCAGATGACTGTACTCTGACATTCACTTATCCAAGAGAGCAAATGCCAGCTGTTCTTGGTTACATCAATCACATCCTTGAATCAATATCAGCCAGTCGAAAGATGGCAGGTCACATTTGCTATTGTGACAAAAATGATGATCTCTACGTAACATGATAGTAATAGCTTTAAGAATGAATGGGACAGTGTTAGTACACGGGGACGAAGTTGATATCCTTGGAGTGAAATTTGATTCCAAGCTGACTATGAAGAACTACGTTGTAAATCTTGCGAAAAAAAAGTCGCCAGGAAGCTTACAGCACTCTCGTATCTGCTCAACAGTAGATTTTGCAAGACTCTCTATGGGGCACGAACGCACTCGCACTTTGAGTATGCTCCACCTTCTTGGACTGCCAGCCTCCTCTCCCCTCCCCGTCTCTTCTACGACTTCTTGACAAAAAAGAGAGCAAGACGACTCAGAGCCTTCAACATCAGAGGGATGTGGGTGGCCTTACAGTTATGCACAAGGCCAATGTTACGAAGGTTCCACACCTGGCTCCACTTCGTGGTCAGCCAGAAGAGAACTTTACACAAGACGGGAAACCAACAGCAATTAATTCA